ACTGTAGATGAGTTTGGGGCAGATCATGGCGACAGAATACTTACTTTAAAGTGAATACGAGATTCAATCTCTATTTCTCAAGAATGTATGAAATAAAAAAAAATATATTTTACCCTTTGAGCGTATCGGTTAATTTGCCTGTTTAATTAAAAGTTGAGTATTACAAGATTTCGTAGTTTTTACACAACACGTTTCTTTGAATATGGTTACCCATGTTGGATGTATATCGGTTTTTACTGTTAAAATATAGATGTGGAGATTGTGTCTTATAAAAAGTATCTATACGAAAACAAGGGTGGTTTCCGTCACTAGATTTTAGTTGGATGCTATAATTAAGTCGAGAGACACGGTTGTGAAACTTTCCAGCTTTCCAACGACGTATCACACATGGGGGGGAGGGGGTCACTATTTAAGATTTAAAAGGTGGGGTGGCTGGGGCACAGGGGGTTGAAGGGGGTGCGTCGCCAACTGTATCATTGTGATTCCCCCTCCGAATTACCGACACGGATTTTGATTTTTTAAAATATCTCGTTTATTTACTAAGACATGGGGGTGGTAAGTTTTCAAATTGTCACCCTGTATAAGAGTTTTTCATCAAAGTAAAATTTAATTGATTTAGATAAGCGATAGCGCATGTGCAAAGTTTGTAGATAAGAAAATGCGTGGTAAACAAGTGCTCGCATTTCGTCGACCCTTATCGAAGATGAAAAATGGGACGGAGATGGTCTGAACTGCTTTGCGCGCCAATGTGCGAGGCGGTCTCAGGTCATTTGCCTTGCCGTACGTTGCAGTCCATTGCGCGTAAATTTCAAATACGCATTTTTCCGGGAGTCTGCCGGTGTTTCGAGGTCTTGTTTTGTCAGTTAAATTAAGATGAAGTGATTCAGGAATACTTTTCGGATTGCTGTCCAAAGTTAATGAAGAAGTTATAGAAGAAGAGGTGTTTCGTAAATTTCAAATTTTGTATCCGAGCTGCCATTTCAACAATGTCTATCGTCATAGAACCAGTGTTGAATTTGGATTATTACAACAAAATAATGAGTTCTTTTGAGACTAATTTTTCGTGTATTCGACCGTGTGTAACGGGGTAAAATATTTCAATAAGGCGCTGTTAGCCTTCAGAATATTGGTTTGGATTCTAGAAATGTTTATTTTGTTTTTGTATGTCATTGTCCCACTATAATGCGTGCATGATAATGTTTACTTTGTATGCGATCTCAGAAAATTATGTCAATTTGAATTCCACTAAAGCTTAAAAGTAAAGAAAAGCAAGATAGTTTATTTCTGTTGTTCAATGAAAATTTCTGTTTTTTCGAATCGTTTCCAGTATAAGTCAAAATTTAATAATGTTTCATTTGTATTACGTATTTCCCGAACTTCAGGGTTTTGATAAGTCAATGTCAGATTTTCCAGCGTTTCGAAACTCAGCTGGCCCCTGAGATTCAATTTCTCTTTAGTTATTAAAAATAAAGTTTATAGGAATAAGATGAGGGTTTGCAAAATTTAATTTGTATAATTTTGAACTAGCTAGGTAAGTGTTATTTGAGCGGTGTAATTAATTCATGCTATTGCACACAGCAAAATGTGTAATTCTAATTTGCAAATCTACTACTCCGCTCTTGTATGTGGCCACGTTCTATTTTACTAATTTAAACAACCACCTTAAATAAAATAAAATTATACATACTAGTGTATAAACAACACAGTTAGAAGATTTTTCGACACTGAATACCGATTTTAAATGGAATACTTGTTTACCCTCTTCAAACCGAGTTCACGCACGAATATAGGCCACAATGGAAATTATTGCTTCAACGTCAAAATCCAACCGATCAAAATCCCTAAAAGTACAAGGCCCATAATGAATACAAATATTAAAAGAATACAATTTACCTTAAACATACCGCGTCTAAATCTACCCCCTATTCGTCCAACTCTAGAAAAAAATGGATTCGAGGAAATTCGTTTACTGAAGTTATATCTTGGCCCGTAGTTGAAGATTCTGCTTGAAGCGTATTAATTGCACACAAAGGTGAGTAAATGACACCGTCGCTTAAATTGCAGAAGTCAATTTTTCTTTTCTACTATATAAAACGAAATTTTGTTTCAAATTCCCGCGGTTGACTTCTGTTCGCGATTGTTCTTATTGCGAAATTGTTTTTAAACACGCACGGACTAATCTTCCGCTATCACAATACGGTTTATTAATAGAACACTTAAAGTCCAAACGATTTCAAGGCTAAACCCCGCAACGGGTTAATTTTCGATTTTGAATTAGAGCCTTTTTAATAACTCAAACGCAGCTTAACAATGATTTATTTGGCGAAAACGTCCGTTTATAATTTTTTTCACTACTAGCGTCTGATGACATGATTATTAACCTTTTTTCCACTTGTAAAGTAGGCTTTCTCGGCATTTGTTCAAAGTGGTTAATAATGTGGACATTATTAACTAGTAGTCAATAATGAGAACTGTCACGCTGTCACTTTTAAAAAATACAACCCCAAATTTCGCTCAATAAACGTTTGGACAAGTTCTCTAAAATGAATAATTGCCACCATCCGCCATTTCTAGAGAAATTACATACCTATACCGGCCCGTGTGGCGCAGTTCAGTTGGAGCTGGATTGTGGTGCTAAGGTCCCTGGTTCGAATACGGGTTCGGGCATGGATATTTGTAAATGTATAGTGGGTTGGGTTGGTAGAGCAGCCTTGGCTGAAACCCCGCCCACTCAAAAATAAAGGCAAAAATAAATAAAAAAATAAATAAATAATAAAAAATTATCACATTTTGAAAAAATACGGCCTGTTTGACTTGTACTTCTGCGTACTTGATTGACATGTTAAATTAAGAAACAAAAAATTCTCTCCAACCGTTCACTTTCTTATCAATATAATATGTTAATTTAGAGGACTTCAAGTGCTAGTAGTGAAAAAAATAGCATATATACCACGGTAGAGAAGTCTATTATCTCCTTCGCACCTTACACCCCTCGGCGCTAGCGCCTCGAGATGTAATCTTGGTGCTCAGGCAATAATACTGTACTTCTCTACCTTGATATATAATGTACTATTATAATTTTGCGACAGTTCTCAATACAAATTTTACACACGCCGGCCTTACCCAAAACGTTTAATTCCACTGAACTTGCACAATGTGCAATTGCGCTACTTAATCTTTCCATATGACCACTTTGTTTCTTGAACTCTATTAACTACAGACTCAACTAGCCAAGGCCCAAACGTGAGCCTAAAAAATCATTGTGGTTTTAACGTGATCTTTACGACGGCTCAAGACCGATTAATCCATTCCTTTCTCTCTTCCAGCCCACTAATCCCCTTACACTTTTGCAAAATTGACAGGTTTGCTGCTGCGTTGCTTTCTTTATCAAGTACCAGATGTGACTGAGCTGTACCCTAGCTTATATAATAAACATTAACTTGTCAAGCACTAAAAAACGGCGACTATTAAAAAAATCCCCAGACGCATCTTGCATTCGACCGACAAAAATAAAAAGCGCTACATTCTTTTTTGAAATATCGTCACCAACATATTCCTTTCCAAAAAAATACGCCCTACTATAGCTTTGAATCTGTCCCAATAGTAGAATTCTTTCTTTTTCACCAACCACACCTCCAGAAAAGAGGTTTGCCTACCTTGAATAACAACGAATCTGAATCAGCCGAACGGTCACATGACCAGTTCCAGTTCATTAACAACTATTTATTTCTTTGTGCGATGACTACTGTTTGTGGCAAAAATAGTTTCTGGACTTGTAGCGAAATGTACGAAAATCTCGTTTTACTTAAAAAACTCATACCTAGTCCACATACAGGGCGCAAATTAGGATCCTTAATCCCGACATCGACAAACAAGAACCTCGTCTTCCACGTACACATACGGTTCCAAGTGTGAAGAACGAACAGGCTCCACTTTAAGTGTTAAGTATTAGGATGTATACAGGGTGTTTCCATTAGAGGGAATTTTATTATTTTTCAAGTCAATGCATTCTTGATAAATGTGAGCCATTGACTACCGGATGCGTCGTGACCGGCTAATGGTCTGGGAAAAGTTATCAGCGCCAGTCTGACGGACGATAACACAGCATTAATGTCTTACATGGCCAAAACAGCTGAATCAGAATTATTCATGAAACATCGTGATCTTAAAGATTGCCGACATAATCTATTAGCGCCATTTTTGTAAGTGTCTTAGAAAATTTAAAAAAGAGTAAAGACGCGTCTAGAAGAGAAGCGGTATGGCATTCGGTTTTGGACCACCAGAGCGTCAAGTGCGTGGTTTGAAATAACAGTTTATTGGGTATTAACCGGAAATGCGTCAGCAGGTAAATCAGGTTAATTCAATTCGCATATGAGGCTGAATGGAGCTCCAGCTCCAAAAGCTTAATAAAACATGTAAAAACAGTTTTGTATGCACCTTTTAATTCTGAACAACTTTAAACTCTACAGTTTTTTCTATAAAATGTACAGGAGGGCAGGATATTGCATAAAACTAATTTCCCATGTTAAATCCCTATGTTCCTACTTACCGTGCACCATCCGATATATAAAATTTAACAAATTATTGCCTAATACTACAAAATCATTTTTATTTAGATTGTCTAATTTTTATGTTTATGCAAATATCTAAAAAATTAAAAGAGAAAAAGGGTATACTTTGCTCTATATCAAGATATCAATTCATATTTAGAACATTTTTTGAGAAGAAATCAAGTTTGACAAAACAATGTAATAAGTATACATTTCGAGCATATTATTATATACGCGTATCGCATGCCAAGTACAGGTGCTTGATATGGGACAGTAAAAAGTACCGATGCTATAAATAGCTTAACCATCATCACAAAATTTATCGCGAATTTTTTACACGTCGAATTAGTGAAAATAATAAATGAGCACTGTCATTATTAATAATAATCAATTATTAACGCTACATTTAAGTAAATATTCGGAACAGTTATCTATCCACTGACTTACAAATCAGACATACCTAATCGTAAGCGAGATTGCGGTACTTAATGATAATCCCACTTCCTTCGCGTGTGGAAAATCAGAGAGTGAATATAACAGGATAAATTAACGGCTAGTTAGTGTGAGTAATCGTCTCCGATATGGCAAACTTGCTACTGTTTCTGTGCGCGTTTGGGGCTGTTGCTGGTAAGCAACTCATTTTGGAAATATCTGCTAAAAGCAAAGCGCTATTTTTTTAGCCTACGCCCCTAGGATAATTAGTCGAAGTGAATGGGGTGCAAGGAGTAGCTGGAAACCACCACAGACATTGGAGGAGAATCCCGCCCCCAACGTTATTATACATCACAGTACGGGACCGTCTTGTGAAAATGAACATAGCTGTAAATCACGGGTTAAGTCGTTTCAAAACTATCACATGGACACTAATCGTTGGAATGATATTGGTTATAACTTTTTGGTAAGTTACCGCTTTGATACAAGCCTCCGCTTGTTTCATTTGTAGGATACTAGAGTGCCAGATCGATATTCCTCATTCCTCCCAGCGCTTTTTTTATCCTCCTGTGACGCTCGAACTTAGTCGATAGAAAAGTTCAATTGTTGGTCCCAAAATTGTAGGTACCAAAATTCGTCGAGATCGGAATTTTTTCCGCAATTCCATTTAGGGATACGCCTTTTTTAAATCGGGAAGGGCAAGGAAACTAATTCTGAAGAGTCTGGTTATAGTCAAACGTCTTAGACTTGTGTAGGGCGAAATGTAAGCAGCATTTCCCTTAATTTCTTGTCTTGACGAGTTGGCGTTTCCCTTTTTTGATCTGCAAATGGACGTATTTCTTCGTAAACGTGCTCCCCCACCACGTATCTCAACACTGGGAACAAATCGATCTGGCACCCTAGTGAGTGTCGAATGTGGTATTACCGTAATTTACCTTCAGGTTGGAGAAGATGGAAACGTCTACGAAGGACGAGGTTGGGGCAAGGTTGGGGCACACGCGCCAGGTTACAATACAAGAAGCATTGGGATTTGTGTAATTGGAAATTATGAGTGTAAGAATTAACCCCAAACTCGGTAACAAAAACTCTAATTTTTTTGTAGCGAGATTACCTAATCGAGCAGCATTGGAGGCCGTTCAGAATCTCATTGCGTTTGGAGCATCGAAAGGGTACATAACGTATGACTACGCTTTACGCGGTCATAGACAAGTAACAGCGACACTATGTCCAGGGAACGCTCTTTACAATGAAATCACCACGTGGGGTCACTATACACACTAAGTTCTTTGCGTAGCGATACTAACAAAATATGTATAAAAGTATATGTATGATAAATTACTCGTAATTTGCAAATTACAATTTGATGATATGCAGAATCATTGTGCCATTAAATCTATATCGCATACCTCAGTGATTCATTTACTTTACCTTCCTAGTGGGATTACATTTTTGGGGTGGGTACCAATTTATTGATCATTCCACAATGAGCTATAGTGAAATCCATAAAAGAACACAACGTATAAGTGTCACGCAGGGTATCAGGTATGAGTACTCCTTATCAAAATAATTGAAACCCTAGCTCCGTTATTCGTAAATGAAAGGGGCAAACAACTAGATTTCAACAAAACATTTAAATGCTTCATTTTAACAGACACTTAAAAGTTTATTCTACAAATTACCAGTCCAGGCTTGTCCAAACTAACATGAAACTCAAAATTTCCTGGGTCCGTCAACATGGGCAACAAAATTTCTTATAAGCAATTGCAAACGCCGTATCGATTTAATTTATTTTAATTTAATTTATTAAAAAACGCTTGTGAAATTCTTGAAAAATCTTTGAAAACAACTGAGATGTCACCGAAAAACTGCAACTGTCAAATTTAGTTTTCATGTTTATTAGCTTATACGGTCGGAAATGGCCGGTTCTTGTTAGCACTTTTTTTCGGAGAATCTAAATCTCTTATCAGAATTTCTATATCACGCGAGATGTAGAAGCTACAGGCTACTTTCTTATTTCTTATGGACACCATGTTGTATTTTGACGAGATGAGATAGAAAAAAAAAGAAAATCAATCATAGCCATGTCCATTCAGCAAGATTACGTTACCCGTGGAGGTATAGTGTGACATGTCGTCATTATCTTTCTTTTTTTGTCTTCTATCTCATTCCGTAAAAATCCAATATGGCGCCTATAATAAATAAGAAAGTAGTAGCCTGTAGCTTCTACATCTAGCGTGCTATGGGAATTCTGATAGATTCAGATTCTCCGAATAAAAATGCCCATAGAGATACAAAGTGATAACAGGAATCCTCCATTTCCAACCGTTTAAGCTATAGGTACGTAAAATGATAACTAAATTTCACATTTCAGACCTGCAATTTCTCAAACCCGCCCCATAAACGACCAAAGGTGAAACATAAAATAAGAGCTTAAGAATCTTCTACTGCGGTAGTTCGTTCTGGGTAAAATGATTTTCGGAATCTTCGTTGCACTTACCAAGCTTGAGCGCCACCCAATTTCTAGCTTGCCTCTCCCTGTATCAAATTGAGAAGATACGAGGATCAAAAAGAGTACAAGTCAAATTAAGTAGGTATCAAAAATATATACTGGTTTATTCACGTATATAAAATCAAATTTCACGATGGCCCAGCGTACACAAAAATATGCAAATATCAAAATTGTAAGTTACGTTACACACAAAAATCTTAGTAACTCCACAATACAGTTGACATATACCAGTTTTACCAACCTTCAATCAAGAATGATCGATTAAATTGAGTACTTGATGTTAACACAAAGAAATTGATCGGAACAGAAATGCGCACGTATAGGCCAAGTACAACAAAACATAAAAAGGCAACGCTTACATTGATTTAATAAGATGTCATCCAGAGAAGTGAGCTCGGATCCATAAAATCGGCAACAAAAGAAAACTCCCAAGCCGCAAACCTCGGAATGCAATGAACTGAACAATGCCTGAATGGTCTCTCCTTACTTGTAGTAAGCTCACAAGTACGATACTTTTTCCACCAACCTCTTCAGAAGGAAGTGGCGGCCTACCATATCAATCTCGTGCAAAAGTCGACCATAACTTACCGAAGTAACAAATTAACAACTGAAAGTGATAAAATTACGGAAGTTATTTCCTTGTTGAAGATCGAATCCTGTGATCAATCTCCGCTCACGATCCGGGTGACCCAATTCATAACATGGCGGTTTCTTATCGGGTGTGGAAAAATGTGTCCACAAGTGTTGGCACTCGCAGGTAGATGATAAAGGTTACGCCAATTTCGTATGTAGAAACTAAAACTAAAAACCCTAGAAAAAATCAAAGGTAACCCTCTTCGTTGATAACCTTAAAATATACAGGGTGAGTCAACCATTGCGCGGAGTAACTTAATGCCTTGAAGATAAGAGTGCTTTTGTATTATGATATGGTTGAATATTCTCCACATTTTAAAAATATTTGGAATTATACAGGGTACGCCCACAAAGTAGGGCGCCCAAATGGTACGTTTTTTTAAAATAGAACCCCCTGTATTTGAATGCATTTTTGAATTCTACATGTAATTGTACGTCTTTTTTATTATATGGTTAATATCCGAAAAGCTAGTAGTTTTAAAGATAATTCGATTTGTAAGAAAAATTGGGCATTTGCAACCGTCAGTATATTATCAAAATTATTACTTAAATTTTGATGATCTTTTATCCTGGGCTAAGTAAAAGTCAAATAAATACATCTACTATAAAACATTAAAAAAATAGCTTACAGGGTGTTTTTTTCTAGATCCAAAGTTACAAAATTTCATATTAAAAAATCTCACTTTTTTAAATGGAACACGCTGTATATTTTTCTGTGATCTTTTAACTCCTCCAAAAATCTTCAACTTTTGATAATAATGTCCTATACCTATCTCTGATAGTTTTCGAAATATCTTGGTTCTCCTGGTTTTTATATTCTAATCGTAAATAAGTTATATGTAATTCACATAATAGTGAGGTGGCCATGCAAAAAAGGCAATTTTTATCTACCTCGTTCAAAGCTAAAATGATATTTTATATTATTATTCATTTTTCTAATAATTCATTTAAAAACTGGAGAATAAATTTGATAGTAAAAACATAAACAAATATCTTGGTTTTTCTACTTTTTATATTTTAATCTGAAATTCTAATTTACATAATAACTAGGTGAATATGAAAAAAAATGAAACTAATGTCACTGACTGGATGACATTAGGAGTTAAATTAAATTTGCTTTGTAGTCAAATGTTTTTACTTATTCTCTAGTTTTTTGGACTTAAAATAAATTGTTTGAAAAATAAATTAATCGATATGATTTTCGTTTTAGACGAGATAGATAAAAATTGACTTTTTTTGCACGTCCACCTCACTATTACGTTTGCAACTTTGGACCTACCAAAAAAAACACCCTGTAAGCTATATTTTTAATGTATAATATTGTATGTATTAATATTGTGGAGAATATTCAACCATATCATAATACCAAAGCACTCTATCGAAAAATCTTACCTTCAAGGCATTAAGATACTCCGCGCAATCGTTGACTCACCCTGTACATACCTCTTTGAATAAGAGGGCGAATTGTAGATGAACAATCGCCGATGGAAAATCGTATTAAATATCAGCCGAAACCTAAAGAATATATACGTCAAGCAGATTAAATGCAAATTGCGTACTTACAATGAAGAAGAATAACGGAACTGTATCCTCCTACTGAAGTGAAGGAGTGAAATTGCATTCACAAAGTAATGCGGAATCCCCAATTAACCGAATCTAATCTTTAAATATTCATACATATGGGTCGCAGCTCTGTCACAGCTGATGAACAAAAAAGGAAAATGAATGTTACCATCAATAACAACAAATCGCAGCGCCGTAAAAATTTAGCGCTAGAAATTCCGTGTCTGTTACTAGGATCATTCAACAAGTAAATATACCATTAACAATAAAAATGTTTCTAGTGAAGAAAATAAATTGTTGCACGTTCTTCCATTAATAAATATGTAAATTACTTGCCTAATTCATTTTTAATGGTAACATTTCGCCATAAGTTTTCCATACAACGAGGGGCAATTGTACCAGAGCGAGTCACAAAAGTTCAACTGTGTCACCGCAAAACCGATCCAGTTTTCAATTTCTCTTGGACGGATCCTTTTCAGACATTTTGTGACCTAAAGAAAAACACCGGGTCACTTTAATTCCTTTTTGAATGGTATAAAGTATTGGTCGGTTATCTTTAAGAAGCGAATGTTTTTTTAACGTAATCATAATATCCTCAAAAGAACCGATCGGTGGAAATTAACTGCATGTAACAGATTTGTATTGCATTTAATTGTTACAAGTGGGTCCATACAAAAGAAATTGATTTTTTAATTAGTTGGGAATTTGTCTTTCATTTAAATGATAGTATTCCTTTGCATGAATTCAAATTCTGTTTAGCCAGAAGATGTGTACAAATATTTTGCGTAAAAAATTTCCAGGAGTATATTGTGCATAAAAAATTTAGATAAGGGGAATTAGAACGGAACGTGGCCACGAGATAGGGGTTGAATTTTGAATCCGAAAATATGAGATTGGAATTGGCCCCACTTTAGTTTGTCAATAATTTTTTTGGGATTTTTATTTATTCGGCTGTAGTCAATCCAGAGCGCCAAGTTTGGAGTTTCAGAATTACAAAAGAAGGCCAAAATTCCGTAAGGTAAGGGATATTTAAATTTTATTACAGAGCTAGCCATGGGTAAAATGAATTGCGATAGACAAATTTTTACCAATTTTATTTATTACGCTTCATGGCATATCCAAGGTAAAACTACATTTTATTACTGAAGCGCATTCATTATTTTAGGAGGCCTCGAGTATGTATAATCTTGCCTTCACACCAACGCGAACGGTGTGTTAATAAACTACAAAATTACACAATGATAGCAATTAAATGATAAGTGCACACATAAGCCCAGGTAAATCGAACTAATCTGCGATTTACAGCGGGAATAATCCATTACTCAAATTTATTTGAATCAAATTGATTAGTGCAAACATAATTGCAATTAACGTTGTCTTCCGCCGTCAATTCAAATTGTAATTAATTTTCTTTGCTTCTACAAACACGGGAGTTGAGGTAGAAGGTTCGCAGTACCTAGGTACTCCCATTAGCAGCCAATAATTTAAATTGTGATCATCCATATTCATACTAAGTAATAAAGCTTCATTTTTGCGGTGGTGTTGTGCATCGTGTTGTAATTTTGTACCTACAGCTTATTTGCTTTAGCTTGACCAGATCTATTACACATAATTGCTAACATCAGTGTAGTTCATCTAAAAGTCGTCATTATAGCGTTTCTTAAAGACATAATGAGAGTATTATTATAATTTTCTAATTA